CAAGCGAGCAAAGCAGAGAGCACAAAGCAGTGGAGAAAGCCTGATCGAACGGCTGTGAGGAGGAGGACAGCGCCATCGAATGATCAGCGTGTTTGATACACACACACCGACCAACACCCAGTGAGAACCACAAGACGTCCAGCAGCGACGACGGAATCATCGCGCAACACGTCACCGAGCGTCGTGCCAACTCGTCGTCCAGCAGTGGAGAGAGAGAGAGCGCACAAGCAGAGACGTCCGAGCGAGGGAGCAGCAGGGGCTCGCTGCGGCCACGCCCAAGCCAGAGAGAACCTGGCCGCTGTTTGTATATTCCCTCTCACACCACACAAGCTAACGACACAACTCCCGGCTCTAAGAATTTAATTAATATTACAAGGGAACAACGCACACACAACACGCACACGAATAAGATTTTCAAAAAGTTATCTTTGCGTTTCAAAAAGGGTTGCCATTTCAAGGTGGTGCGTTCAAATCAACTGATCGTGCAAAGCAGTTGCTGCCGTCGAGTTACATGAATAAGAAGTGTTTTAGTCATTTTCGTTAATTGCATAATCTTGCCCATGGATTTATTGACGTATGCTTTCGCCTTTGCATACTAGAGTGTCATGTGTTTGTTTAGAATTAAAATTGCTTAACACCAACTGTTCGAGCGCTTCTTTCCAAGTCCATGCAAAACTGTCTTATTCTTAAGAACTGTATCCTGTGATGAGATATGAAAATGGAGACCTAATATAACATAACACACACTAAGATAATCAGTAAATGTTTAATCAATGATAATCGTGTTATCCTGATTGATACAACTCTGGATAACGAAGCTAACCCTAATTATCATAACTGCTTACATTAACATAATCACAAGCATCCGCATAAATTACTACGATTATCTCCGTGATTATTATAATTTATGCATATTAATATACACATTAAAATAATTTATGCGATTTGCACATTTTTCGGAAAATTATTAATTTTTATTATTTTTATCAAAATTTCAGAATCCAACATACACAACATGTACCTGACACCATCGCAATCATTAAAGACTTGGTTCATCAAGGACTGAATGCTGGGGTACCCCACCTGGTGAGACACTGCTTAACCAATACATACTTCACCTAAAATGGTACTTTCTACAAGCAAACTGAGGGCACCCCAATGGGTTCCCCTCTATCTCCGGTTGTAGCCAACGTCTTCATGGAGAAATTTGAGACTGACGCCATCCAGACTGCTACTCTACGCCCGACCTTATGAAAGAGGTACGTAGATGACACTTTTGTCATCTGGCCACATGGCCGGCCTGCTCTAGACCAATTTCTCGACCACATCAATTCCATACACCCAGCTATCAGATTCACCATGGAAGTCGAAAAAGATGGCAAGCTACCCTTTAAGGATGTCCTAATTAAAAGGAGACCTGATGGTTCAATGAGCCACTCGGTCTACAGGAAAGCCACCCATACGGATGCTTACCTAAAACCGGATTCCCACCACCATCCATCCCAGAAGAATTTCCTCATCAAGACTTTATACCATAGAGCCCAATGCATTTCCGACCGGGAACACATTGCCAGTGAACTCAAACATGTACACCAAGCTCTTAAGGCTAATGGTTACTCCGACTACACAATCCGCAAAACCATCACTCCAACCATCAAGAAGGACCCTGTTGAGGAGCCTCTCAAGACCATCACCTTACCCTACATTGCTGGGGTCACAAAAAATATCTCCAAAATCCTGATTAAACACAAGATCCAGGTCCGATTCAACACAGTACATAAAATCCGTGATCTGGTCCCATCTGTAAAAGATGTGGTTCCAGACATACAGTACCCTGGCGTCTACAAACTAAGTTGGCTCTGTGGTAGCAGTTACATTGGAAAAACCAAACGACATGTCTCGGATCGCATCCGTGAACATAAAGCAGACTTGAAACACGGTAGGACAAACACCTCAGCCGTGGCAGATCACTGTTACAATTCAGTGGGCTCACATGATATTGACTTCTCCAAGACAGAGGTTCTCTGCAAGCCATCTGGCTACCATGAGAGATTCGTCCATGAGGCGATCCACATATACAAACACAGAGACAATTTCAACCGAGAAGATGGATTCCGGCTTAGCAATCATTGGAAGGACTTAATAAACCATTTCGGATCTTAACTGATTGTGTCCGCGTTTACGGTGGCTTTCAGACCGCGTACCACTCACTGACATTGACTATATATCTTGTGTTCTCCGCGGGGAGTGGATTCTTTGCTCCGCTGCAAGCTTCCTTCTGCCGCTCTCCCATTGACATATTTCGTTGCTTCCTCTTGGTACCTTTCACGCGACGGTCAATGGTATAGTGTATAGCATATTGTATAATAATAAATAGTATTAAGGTGTAATGTTTAATACAATGTATAGGGTAATATATAGTTTTGTGATTGTATGGTGAATATACAGCAGTGTGGTATACAGTTGGGTGGGTAGAATAATACATAGTGTAATATTACACTATGTATTATTCTAAGACATAGGGTAGTGTATAGTAATACAGAATACAATTTGGTGTTGGGTTTGTCTATGGCAGCATACAGTGTAGGATAGACCCGTGTGATGTAAGGAAAAAGTTTAAAAAGTTTAGCTGTAATGTATTACTTACGGTTGGTAGCTCAGCTTATTTAGAGTGTATTTGGCATACTATTAACATTCCTTCCCTTTGTTGGTGCTGCCCCTGCCCCCTCCCTTTGATGCTGCTAATCCTGCATTATGCATGGGCATAATATGACTTTGAAAACCCTCCCACGCATTTCACAATTAGCACTATTCGCATTCCTGCATTGGCCATAAATATGCTAAATTCCTCTTGATATGCAAATTCTTTTGTCAAGGTGCTCTTCCTCCTCCCTCCCAGTTTAAATAGACGCTCCAAGCCTAGGACGTGTCATTCAGACTCTGTCTTATCGACAGACATGTTCTTCACCTGAGGACGGCTGCTTGCGTTGTGGCCGAAACGTCGTGAGAATTGTTTTATTTTTATTATTTTATTACTTCCCTACTACGTGACTTTACCGAAATAACCAAGAAGAACTAAGTGTGCGTTATGCAGTTACCCTGTTGGGTTATAATAAACGTGTTGCCTCCCAGTTCAAGTGTGTGCTTCCGTGAGGAACACTACAAATGTATATATGGGTCTGTGTGTGTATTATTATCTATGTCTGTGAGTGTATTATTAACTATGGGTCTGCGCGTGTAATTTTATATATAGGCCACTGCAGGGGCGGTTTCTTCATTAGGGCGATTGGGCGACGCACCACCAATGTCATTCAACCACAGAGTCACGCTAGCCGTCACTGTGCCTCTGGATATAGTCCAATCAGCGTCATGTCACGTTCTGTGGAGTACCGCCTCTTTTTGGGCGATTTCACTCCGGCTGAGAATCGCCCCGAGTGGCCCCATAGACTTACATTCAAAGATGTTTTTTTTCGAACGGCGGGCGCTCCAATGCATTCTCTATGACTTCCGGGAGGGCTCGCCCTAACGTGCTTACGTCATCATACGTAAGCACGTTTCATCCAACAATATAATTTGTCGCCACCTAGTGGAATCTTTAATAAAAGAAACTTGAGTGGATTCTATTAATAGTGAGTATAGAAACAAACAAGGAGATGTATTGTAAGAGTCACTTTCATAATCAACGTTTTTGGGTTTAGATCGCGTTTATTTATAAATTTGTCGTAACCCTCCACCACCCGACACGGCCAATCAGTAAAAATGTGTCACGTTGACAAAGACAAATATTTCACTGCTTTAGCCCACCGGTGTGTTGAAGCCACAACATTTACAATTTTGTAAATATTTCACTGCTTTAGCCCACCGGTGTGTTGAAGCCACAACATTTACAATTTTGTAAATGTTGTGGCTTCAACACACCGGTGGGCTAAAGCAGTGAAATATTTGTCTTTGTCAACGTGACACATGTTTACTGATTGGCCGTGTCGGGTGGTGGAGGGTTACGACACATTTATAAATAAACGCGATCTAAACCCAAAAACGTTGATTATGAATAACATTGGTCGCGAAAGCCTACGTGTTAAAGAGTCACTTTATTTTTCATTAATATTAAAGAAGTGAAGTTGCCTTTACATGCTTAAGCTGTTAATGTATCCATTGCATGGGTGGACCTTATCCTTATCAATCATCCAGACATTTGCCCCCCCTGAGAGATTTTGCAGGAGCCGCCACTGGGCCACTGTGTGTATTATTATCTATCTCTGGGTGTGTGCCTATATGCATAGTTCTGCGGATTTGTTAACACCGAATGCAAGTCTTGACATAACGCTTTCGTGACTACAGGAATTAATAATCTTTGGGTTTTTCGGTAAAGTCACGTAGATAGGTTCAATCAGTGGTGATATTGTTGGTTTTCGTGACGAGGTTGTTGGTCGGATCTATTTTAATTTTGGTATAGCTACCATCATTAAGTAGGCCCTGAATTTTGTTATTGTATGTGGGTTTCTTCATGATGACTGGCATTGCCCTTGTCGGCTGAGAGGATGACGATGTAATCTCTCTTTTTTTATTGAGAAAGCTCAAAGCGCTCATCCTTACTGATGTTTCTAATAGGTGTCTTAAAGTTTTTGAGGATTGTAGCGATTTCCGATCTTGCCACGTCTGCACACCGGCAACATGGGCATGTTGATCGGAAATCGCTTAACAGCCGGTTGGGGGCAAGTGCTGTTAACGAGCACCTTTGAAGGCCGTTGGGTGAGCGCACGGAGCGGGTGACGTCACGCAAGGTGAGAGCACGGAGCGGGTGACGTAACGCAAGGTGAGAGCACGGAGCGGGAGACGTCACTCTGGGTGAGTGCACGGCGCAGATGACGTCACGCTGGGTGAGTGCACGGAGCAGATGATGTTACGCCGGGTGAGTGCACGGAGCGGATGACGTCATGATGGATGAGAGCACGAAGCGGTTGACGTCACGCTGTGTGAGCGCGGCGCGTTTGACGTAACCGCCACTGGGGTAACAGCGCGGAGCGTATGACGTCACTCGGGGGTGAGAGTGTCGCGGGCGACGTCACCGCCACCGCGGCCCAGTTTCGCGGGCCCTATTGTCCGCGCTCATTGAGAGACCGCGCCGCGACTCAAAAGAGTGAGTAGTCATATACCGCGCTCCCCGCTCCTTGCTCCCCGCGTTCGGACCCCCCCCTCCCCTTAGGCCGTATACTCGAGGCCGCTGGGCCAAGCTCGCGGTGGCGGCAGTGCGCGGGGCACCGGGCCTGACGCGCGGGCCCCTCGCGGCGGACAAAGACCGGGCACCTCGAGCGGCACCCGTGGCCCACGGCACGCGGGGCCACCGAGCAGGAGGGAGAGGGTACACGGGACCTTGGAAGTAGAGACGCAGAACGCCACTCGCTTAGAACCACGGACCCCGGGGGCACGGGCAAGGGCCTGGAACCCCAACAGCCAAAGCGAGAGAGCAGGAAGGGAGCTTCTACAACTGCGCGGCGCTTCGGCCCACAAACCCTAGACCCCCCCCCCCCCACCAACCTATTTAGCTCAGTGGGCCCTCCCTGGCAAAATAACAACAGTTTAGTTTAATTTACATGAGATAATTTCTCTGATAGTTATTGTGAACCCCAGTTGCAGACGGACAGAGATGATACACATTAATTATTTCACTCTTAGCTGGAAAACGTTCACAAGGAGAAAGGTACTGAGTCTGGGGAAATAGATTTTTGGACCATGTTGAGCTACAGAGGAAAATGAGTGACCTCTCAATGAGCAAAGGTTGACTGGGGGGCTGGAGCAGGGTTGCTGCTTGCTTTCTGTCGCTGGAGGCACTGTTATTGTGAACCCATTGCCCAGGGCTGTCGGCGCGGCTGCAGGCAAACTCACCTAGTTTATGCTGGAGGCTTTGAGCTGCTTTTCTCAATACATATACAGCTGCATGATCTATTTTTATCGTCTTCCTTTGGTCACAGGATTAGAGCTCTCCCCATCCCTGACCAAACTGCTTTCGTTGTTTTGCTTTTGCACGGTGGTACGATCTCCATGCCAAAGGTACACCGTGTGCATTCATATGTGTACTCCGCTCGGCCACTGGTGCACTTAACTGTTTACATTTGTTCAGTAATACAGGGTAACATGCCTCCGGATACAACTTATCTATTCAGGAAAGCCACGATGAGTCTTTAGACTCTTTTCTCATGAGGGCTCTGTGTTGGATTTTTATTTGTAAGATGTGTTCAGCTCCTTTATGATTGTTTTCATACAAGTGGGAGGAAACAGGAGCACCCAGGGAACACCCCAAGTGTGCGAAGGGGCAACACTATCCCTGCACAGTTGGAAGCAGATGGCGATTAGTCCATTTAACACGTAGGCTTATGCGACCAATACTATTAATAATAATGGGTTTTTTGGGGTCCGATCTCGTAAATATATACGTGTTCGTAACCCACCACCATCCGATGCAGCTAATTAGTTAGGTTTGTCATGTGAAGAAAACTTGCCAATTTGTTACTACAGCACACTGGCGTGTTGGAGAGTAAACCCACAACATTTACAAATTGAATACGACATTTCACTGGTAATTACAACCAGCTTCATCAGGCGATTTTGCCAGAATTGTGAAAAAGGATGACTCCAATTGTAAATGTTGTGCGTTTACTCTCCAAGCTAGGATGTCACCTCGACATCCACGGGAAGGGAGTTGAACAACATTGGTGCGATCCGCCAATCCTCGCCTCCACAGTGCTGGATTACAGGCGTGCAAAGCCACCAATCGCCCAGCTTGTATCCAAATTTTGTGAGGCTATAAGAGATCAGGGTCTTGATCGCTCTAAGCTCATCATTGTTGCGATCACTAATGTTGAGAGGCACGGATTTAGCCCCCATTTTTCTTGCGCTTTGTGGTGTTTTGCTCCTGTGCCAAGTTACAGCATCTTTTTGGGGGAAAATGGTATCTCGCTTAGTTTGGTTCACAAGAGCCTCAAGGCACAACAGACAAGTAGCAACCTTAGTCGGCATCTAGAGCGACAGATCAGGGACAATAATTGTACAGTTCAGGCTAATTTAATTTCAATAAATAAGCTAATTGCAGCTTCTGCTGAAACCCCTTGCTTGGTGCGGAATAGTAGTGAATGTTGTCAGAAAGTTGTTGACGTTACTTTCCCTTTGTCAACTTATCATTCTTTGACTTAACTTCTTGATGATTTTAACAAGAGATTAAACTGCGTGGCCAGCAATCCATGTAAGATGTGTACTGCACATTGTATGCATTAACACAAGATTTGAATTACTCATGACGTTTAAACCTATTGCGGAAAAATACAATAACCATATATTGTTGTACTGCTTGAGGTGGCTTGATCGAATCAACTGATCCGCAGGCCTGTGAGGGTGAATTTGGTCATGTGCACTGCTGAAATACAGTACATACTTTTGTTTCTTTGCAATAAACTAATTATTACTGTTATACATTTTACTTCTGCCTCATAATACCTTTTACTCACATCATGACAGAATTGTATAATAATTATTCAACTACCCAATGCATAATCTTGAGTTCTGTATTATGTGTGTTATGTTAAGTGCCTAGAAACATTTGCCAATCCACCAGCATTGGTTTCAAGTAAGCCTGACTTTGCTGATGAGACACTGAATGTCGATACAGGTCCAGATTGTTGTTCTTATTAAACCGTCAGTTCGGGCAAATCAGACTTTGCTGAGGAAACAATTGATATCAAAACCTCATGTTAAAGCAATGCTGCAGCAATTCTGCACTGCCAGAAGGTTGTGTGGCATTTTCTGTGCAATAAATAAATAAAGCTTTTTTTTGTGTGGAGGGACAGACTTGTGAATGAGGATGTATTGTCTGCTTGTTTAGTTTGTTACGAATATTGTAGGTCACTTAAGTTGTCTTTCCCCTACACCTCCGATTAGCACAGTTGGCTACGTACGGTGTGAAATAAGTTCAACATGCAAACAGTGAGGCTTCTTTCGCTTATACGATATGGTGGCAAATATCAAGGCAATGTTGAGCATTTTAAATTACGTGCAAGTTTGGAAAGGCTTCTGACGGCCAGTGGCGCTCCTACCCTCTAGAGGTGGATTGAGTGGCTTTTGGGGTAATCTCTAAGAACACCATTGATAAACTGGGGTTAGAATAGTCCGTTTGATATAAGACCACATCTTATACAAGAGACTGAATTATCCACCTGCATGTTATCCAATTTGTGGATTAACCGCGCAATTGAGATTTTGACAAATTAATAACTCGTGGATCTTCCCGAAGCCCAAATTAATAATCTAGAAACAGTATTATGTTGTTATTCTTGGAAATGTTTATAGCAAGTTACTTGCTTAAACCATAGAAATGTGTTGCTCCGGTTAATCCGAAATCCACGTGATCACCTCTACAGTACAGTTTTTGCTTATTTTTACAATAGTGGGTGGTGGAGTTTTCTTTATTTTGATTGGCGTGGCTCTACTGTCATCCACTTAGTGGGCCGAGCCTTCTGCGCGGGAGCAGGCAAGTGATATTATCACCGTGCACACATAGTGATAGACTACATTTTCTTAACTTAAACAGAATGTATACCTATATCAGTGGTTTTTGGCATAGAGATCTGCGGAAAATAGATATTTTTGGATTATTCATGATTTTGAATAATCTGCATCTGTACTTTGAGCCGTGAGCGCGGATAATCGAGAGTCGACTGTGTTTATAGCAAGTCATATCGTGATTCTGTACAGATAGTCTCATAAATTGTCTTGTGTGTACTGTCAGTTGTCGCTTCCGCTTGTCCCGTTTATGATATTTTTTTTTCCCATTACGACTCTGAAGAAATATAAAACATACAATTAGCATTGATTAAAGCAACCTCTTCTAACGCAAATAGTCCATTACATGTAATACTTTCTCATTTGGGAAGAATCCATTTGTAATCCATAAATCATCACATGGCCACTTGACAGCGACTCGGTGACATTTGATCTAAAGCTCATAACCTTGTTTCCATTGACGGGCAACTCTCGTCGACTCAAGGTGCACTCGAATTGGCCTGAACTCGAGTTAGAGGACAACGAGAGTTTAGTGAAAGAAAAGTAATATTTCCGTGAGATGCTCGTTTCTGCCTGAAAATTTGACGTCCTGGAATTCATACCAGAACGTGAAGCAAAATCAATGCAAAGATAGATGTCGGACTGCAGCCCGAAGTGGCAGCTCACTCAACTTGACTAAAAGCCATGGAAACGCACAGTGTGCCGGCATGGCAACTTGAGTATACACTCGAGTTCTGTGGTCTGTGGAAACGAGGTATCCCGGAGAAAAATTCACACCACCATGAGGAGAACATGCAAACTCCAAATATACAGCAGGCGTCAAGGGTCGGGATCGGACCCACGACCTCCTGCATACCAGGCGAGAGTTAACATCTCTCAATCGTGGTCTCAAATGCAATATAGTATCCTCATAATGTGGAAGTGTAGATGGACAACATATTCACGAGTCTGCATTGGCTTTATCAGGGTATGAGACAAGATACTGACAAATCTGTATGCAATAGTATATTAATGTTGGCTGTGGAATTCATACCAGAACGTAAAGCAAAATCAATGCAAAGATAGATGTCGGACTGCAGCCCGAAGTGGCAGCTCACTCAACTTGACTAAAAGCCATGGAAACGCACAGTGTGCCGGCATGGCAACTTGAGTATACACTCGAGTTCTGTGGTCTGTGGAAACGAGGTATCCGTGGTTTAGCTTTGGGCGGGTTATAGGTGTTGGAGTATTTACAAACTATTAAAACGAACTATTATTGCATTTTACCAGGTAAGCCCCACTGAGCTTTAGTGGTCTTTTTCAGAAGCGACCTGGCTATCACAAATGATAGCTCAACAATATAGCTTATCATCACGTGGAAATTTATATCAGCCAAATACTCTAAAAGCATGTTGGGTCTAAATTTTCGAAGGAAAAACTGGAGGACCAGGAGAAAAATTCACACCACCACGGGGAGAACATGCAAACTCCAAATATACAGCAGGCGTCAAGGGTCGGGATCGGACCCACGACCTCCTGCATACCAGGCGAGAGTTTACATCTCTCAACCGTGGTCTCAAATGCAATATAGTATCATAATGTGGAAGTGTAGATGGACAACATATTCACGAGTCTGCATTGGCTTTATCAGGGTATGAGACAAGATACTGACAAATCTGTATGCAATAGTATATTAATGTTGGCTATGGATGCCTACGGAAAGCTGTTATTATTACTACTGCTGGGCTTGTTTACCCCAGGAAAGCCTCACTGAGTCTCAAGATCTCCTTCAGGAGAGTCTTGCCATGTTTCTGCAATAAGGGGCATTGTTGCTGCTGTAATATGTCATTCCAATTGAGTAATTTGCAGGTAATGTTTCAGCGTTGGGATGTTTGACCAATTCCAGTGACATTGTATGGTTTTTTTTTCCCCGCTATGGGAAGAAAACCGGAGAACCCGAAGGAATTCAACGAAGGAAACTGAACAGGGCGGAGAACATACAAACTCCACGATGAAAAGAGCCCGAGTTGGAAATAGAACCCAGGCCTTTATTGCTGTGAGGCACAAGTGTTACAACTGTGCCAAGCTGGTGTGCACTCTCGATAAGGCAATTCATAGTTTTATTGGGAGGCAGATAGACTGGGGTGATGTGGTGTCTTTTTTTGCAGGTTTCACTTTGAAAGAGGCTTAGCAGCTGCACTGTGGGTTATTGAGAGTGAGAGCATGCAGATGGAGTTAATCACAGTAGCGGAGGTGGAAACAAGACCTGGGTTTTGGTGGAGCGTTCAGGGTCTGTACGGATATGTTCGGGGCTTTTTTTTGACCTCTGGAACCGCTCTCTACTGGTATCCCATCTCCCATGGGGTGACATTAGACCACTCGCTTCCCTTCAAAACAACACCTGGAGAAGATAAAAAGCAAAGCCAGCAAGAAAAAAGTAATCGGGAAGTCCGCAAACGCAACGTGAGAGCCGACCCGGCAACACTGCTAGCCACCGCACTCAAACTTTGATATCACTGTAACACAATGTTTGTTCCTGCGTAGTAAGTGTTATTTCATAATTGCTTGTGTCTAAAAAGTATAGAAAATGGCTATTATTCCCCACAAACTTTGCTTTTGTGACGAGGACAGTGATATTTTGAAATTTACCTATTTTCAATGAGAAAATGGGCGAATTTGTATATTTTCGTTCACATAAAGTCAGAAAAAAACAACATGAATCAAAATTAACATGTATTTATCTTCTTGGTTCTTTCGGTAAAGTCACGTAGAAGGGAAATAAAAAAATAATAATAAAACATAAGAAAATACAATTCTCACGACGTTTCGGCCACAACGCGTACTAATTGAGGATGAAGGATCTCTACAACTTTCACAGGGCCCTGCTACGGATGGTGCATTTTGGGCGAGGTCCCTAAAGGGTACATGTCGGCAGTGTAGCCACGGACTATCTCCCACTTCAAAAGGCAGGGGCGTCACTCCCTTTTGCCTAGCCCGTTCAGTCGTGGAACGATACAAGCCGCTGCAGTTTGCGCCGCTTCCCTCGCCGTCTCCCACTGCTGCATGACTCGTCGTATCGCTATAGGCTATTTTGCAGCTTTAGCTGGGAGGTCAGCCGATGGGTTTGCCTGGCTACCTACCGTACATCAAGTAGAACGGGGAGTAAGTATCCTGTCAACACATGCGGGGACAACTGATTTCCCGCCAGGACCCCACCTATGTAAATCCCAGTCCGTCTGAGTGTCATTGACCACTTGACACAGCATGGTTATGGTGGTGCAGTTTAGGCGTTTTACCATACCATTGGTTTGTGGATGACATGGGGAAGTGTGTACTTTCTCAGTGCTGAGGATGTTGCACACCTCCTGTATCTGTTTTGAGGATTTTTTTTTACCCTGGTCTGTTAAGACGTTTTTCAGGGGCCCCTTTATAACATATCCATGCACAAAAGCTTCTACTATTGACTGAACTGTTTGATCTGCCAGGGGCCACTTCACTGGCCATACTAGCAGATATTTGTGACCTATGTCGGTGTGAGGTAGGGGTCCAAATATATCCAAGGCCACCAATTATTTTACCCACAAAATCTCGATTGATTGTAGGGGCACTTTGATCGGGTGTGGTGGCGGCTTTCGCCGCGCACATTCTACACATAAGGCCATCTATGCGCGGATAACTGCCTTAATTATCGTCCAAAAATAATGCGTCTTAATGGTAGTGTTTTCAGCTCCCCAAAATGCATGAGGCAGCGGCCATACACCTCAACTGACATGTTACGAATGGAGGTCGGCACAGTGACACAGTAGAACTGTGTGTCAATCACCCAATGTACCAACAGCCCTTAGCAATGGCACGAATGGGTTCAAGCATCTCATCCTCCCATTGCAATTGCCGCCACTCCTCTTGGCTCAGTCCCAAATCTCGATCGGCCAGGGGAGTTTCTGGCTTGTTTTCCCGTATGTGCACAGGTGCTGTGAGACACTGTCGGGTGAGAGCGGTTTACATCTGGGTAACCCCTTAGCACGTGCACAAGTACCTGCTTCTGGCATACGAGATAATGCATTCGCATTGGTGTGGCAAAACCCCTTTCTGTGGACTACCACATAGCATAATTCTTGCAGCCTTTCAATCCATCTAGCCAGAGGGTTGTTCGATATGTAACGAGTATTGCAGTGCTGCGTGGTCAGTCCGCACCTCTAATATTCATCTGTATAGGTATGGGCGAAATTGTTGCATAAAATGCACAACTGCCAGGAGTTATATCCTTGTTATGCAGTAGCGTTCGGCCGATGACAATACTCGGCTGCCATATGCTAAGGCTCGGAGCAACCATTACCGCTGGGCCTGGCGTGTTTCGTGCCAATTCTGCACCGATGGCGGCTATCGATGTAGTTCCCACCAAATGTATTTCGCCTCCCTCTGGAGGTTGCTCTTCTCCATCCCTTTGTTTTTCTGTCCGTTTCGAAGCCTCCGATGGGCTCGCCGGCCCGGGGAGTCAGCCAGCTATATAGTCGTACGCCGACGATGGGGCTGTGTAGATGGGTCGGCTATGCGTAGCCGTGTATATATATGTCGCCTAGTGATTGTGCCTGAAGTGTGAGAAATAAATAAGAAGCCCTCTACACGTTGTTTCTCGGAAGTCGCTCATTACAATGTATCTGCTCACGCGTGTGTTATGAGCATGGATGTGAGTAAGTGTTGGGAGCTGTGCACGTGTTTGTTTGTGGACTGTGAGCATGTATGGGGACGAATTTGTTTGGGTGAGTAGGGTGCATGTTCACAGTAATAATGTTTTTGTTGGGCCGTGTGTGCGTGCAGGGCCCGTGCGCTTGCAGTGGGATTGGGCGGCTGCAGCGGTCGGCCTGGAGTCATGGAATGCTGGCCCTGAGGACTGCAAGCCTTGCCGGCATGGAGGACGAGTCGTACTCCGGGAGTGAGTCCAACCTGGATTCCGAGGAGGAGGAAGAGGAAGAAGAGGAGTCAGAAGAGGATGAGGAAGAGGAGGAGGACGACAACACCGCGAGAGATGCCGGTGAGAATCCGTGCTCTTCTGTCTATGGTGTCTTGTTGGCATTTTATTCCTGTCCTATTCCCAGTGCTTTGGGCCTGGGTATGACATGTGGGTGGGATGATATAAATGGGGCAAGTGCTTTTCAATGAGTGCCAGAACTATGCACGAGCCATCACATTGGGTTTGGTGTCTACGAAATGCAAAGAGAGGCGGTTCTGTGCAAACGGTCGTGGTGTTTGTGTCAAGATTCTGAAGGCTGTGAGGGTTGAACCGTCTTCATGGTAAGCTCTAACGGGCTATGACTGTGATCCCCGTCCTGTCTCGTTAGGTCCACTAAGATGACACGCTGGTGGGCACATCTCGATTTGTTTACGGAGAACTTGCGAGCTGCAGAGCAGCCTGACATTAGCCTTGTAGATATCCCCATCATTCTCTTAGTTCTTTCGGTAAAGTCACGTAGGTAAAAAATGAAATTAAAATGAATAAAAATAAAACGATAAAATCACAACGTTTCGGAGGCAACACAAGCTTCCGTCTTCAGGTGAAACCGTCACAGCAAAAATATCTGTATCAAGTGAAGAGAAGTCCCAAGAAGCACGACCTTATATACTGGTTAAGGGGGGAGGAGCCAGGAAGGGCCGCGAGGGAGGAGGAGTTGTGAGATGGTCAGTACTGCTGCTGGAACTGAGCCTTTGTAATGTAGATGGCATAAGTAGATAAGCCAGCTAGGATTAAGCCGCCTTTAGTTATGCTGCTGGGTGGGTAAAATTAATTAAATACGAAAAAGGAGAGTACTGTTAAACGCTGGGGATGTTAACACTCAGTAGAGTAAAATAGTGCCTGTCAGATAAGATGGTCCAAAAATGTGTAGTTAAATCTTTTTTGCATGGTTGATAACATCTTTCCAATGATTACTAAGTTTGTACCCATCATCACGGTTGAAATTATGTCTGTGTTTGTATATCTGAATGGCTTCGTGTACAAACCTTTAATGGTAGCCAGAGGGTTTGCAGAGCACCTTAGTCTCGGAGAAAACAATATCATGAGAGCCCACCGCGTTGTAGCAATGATCTCTTCGTGGTGGTGTGGAATTTTCCTCCGGTTTTTCCCTCCACATTTAGAATCAACATGCATTTAGAGTATTTGGCTGCAACAGTGAGGGGAAAAAGTATTTGATCCCCTGCTGATTTTGTACGTTTGCCCACTGACAAAGAAATTATCAGTCTATAATTTTAATGGTAGGTTTATTTGAACAGTGAGAGACAGAATAACAACAACAAAAATCCAGAAAAACGCATGTCAAAAATGTTATAAATTGATTTGCATTTGAATGAAGGAAATAAGTATTTGACCCCCTCTCAATCAGAGAGATTTCTGGCTCCCAGGTATCTTTTATACAGGTAACGAGCTGAGATTAGGAGCACACTCTTAAAAGGAGTGCTCCTAATCTCAGCTTGTTACCTTCATAAAAGACACCTGTTCACAGAAGCAATCAATCAATCAGATTCCAAACTCTCCACCATGGCCAAGACCAAAGAGCTCTCCAAGGATGTCAGGGACAAGATTGTAGACCTGAACAAGGCTGGAATGGGCTACAAGATCATCGCCAAGCATCACCAAGCAGCTTGGTGAGAAGGTAACAACAGTTGGTGCGATTATTCGCAAATGGAAGAAACACAAATGAACTGTCAATCTCCCTTGGCCTGGGGCTCCATGCAAGATCTCACCTCGTGGAGTTGCAATGATCATGAGAACGGTGAGGAATCAGCCCAGAACTACACGGGAGAATCTTGTCAATGATCTCAAGGCAGCTCAGACCATAGTCACCAAGAAAACAGTTGGTAACACGCTACGCCGTGAAGGACTGAAATCCTGCAGCGCCCGCAAGGTCCCCCTGCTCAAGAAAGCACATATACATGCCCGTCTGAAGTTTGCCAATGAACATCTGAATGATTCAGAGGACAACTGGGGGAAAGTGTTGTCAGATGAGACTAAATGGAGCTCTTTGGTATCAACTCAACTCGCCGTGTTTGGAGGAGGAGGAATGCTGCCTATGACCCCAAGAACACCATCCCCACCGTCAAACATGGAGGTGGAAACATTATGCTTTGGGGGTGTTTTTCTAAGGGGACAGGACAACTTAACCGCATCAAAGGGACGATAGACGGGGCCATGTGTCATCATATATTGGGTGAGAACCTCCTTCCCTCAGCCAGGGCATTGAAAATGGGTCATGGATGGGTATTCCAGCATGACAATGACCCAAAACACACGGCCAAGGCAACAAAGGAGTGGCTCAAGAAGAAGCACATTAAAGTCCTGGAGTGGCCTAGCCAGTCTCCAGACCTTAATCCCATAGAAAATCTGTAGAGGGAGCTGAAGGTTTGAGTTGCCAAACGTCAGCCTCGAAACCTTAATGACTTGGAGAAGATCTGCAAAGAGGAGTGGGACAAAATCCCTCCTGAGATGTGTGCAAACCTGGTGGCCAACTACAAGAAACGTCTGACCTCTGTGATTGCCAACAAGGATTTTGCCAGCAAGTACTAAGTCATGTTTTGCAGAGGGGTCAAATACTTATTTCCCTCATTAAAATGCCAATCAATTTATAAAAATTTAGACATGCGTTTTTTCTGGATTTTGTTGTTATTCTGTCTCTCACTGTTCAAATAAACCTACCATTTAAATTATAGACTGATCATTTCTTTGTCAGTGGACAAACGTACAAAATCAGCAGGGGATCAACTACTTTTTTCCCTCACTGTATATATTTCCATGTGATAAGCCGCTTCATTGAGCTATCATTTGTGGCCAGATCGCTTCTGAAAAAGAGCTTTATAGCTTAGTGAGCCTTACATGGTAAAATAAAAAGTTTAGTTTTAGTTTATAAACGAAGCGGACTCAGCACTGTGGGATGCGGGTAACGTCAACGTGCAGATGTTTGGCGTGATGACGTCTCTGCTAAACCATTGCCTGCATGCGCCTTGCTATAGGAGTCGGCGTTAATTGCGATGGCGTTGTCGCGTCGTCATTCAACCCTGTGGAGTGAAGTCACCCTGGCAAAACCCTTGGCATGTTTAAGGGACGATGAAGTGACGTGGACAGGGTATAAACATAAACCAATGAAGAGCCCAACTTCTGGACGATTTCACCAATAAAATGTAAAGTTACTCTTCCAGAAGGTTTTGGCTCCCATTGGTTTGTATTGAACCCTCATCTTCCAAAATATTTTTTGATCATGGAAGTCTGCATTTAATTGTCAGGAACTTCCTTCTGAAGATGGGTTCCTGATTGATTTTCATTGGACCCACATTTTATTCAAAAACGTATTGTCCTTGTTTTATGGTCTTGAGGAAGATTGGATGTGCTGTGGGCCTATTTTTTCTGAAACTTCAGGGTAAAAAATGTTAGATATTTGGAAATGCGACAATTTGCATGGAATGTAATTTTGTGCTCCGACGTTCTGCTTGGGAGATATAGAGCGTGACGAATGGACACTTGTAAATTATGCATATAGCTAATGCATGGAATGTGAATCAGTGGGCTTCATAAATGATATTTGGTAGAAATGTATTTGTTATGGTTAATGTCCAGTTTGAATCTAATTGGTTGTTCTTGTGAGGTCCTGACCCCTGTTTAAGAAGCCAGATCAGGTGACATGACGATTCCTACCTTCCTGGATCTCGTCGTAGTGGTGGTGTTTGATGCAGTTTTGGATGAAATGTGATGTATCTAATTGCTGCTAAGCCTGGTTTATGAGAGTCGCTCTTGACCCACAGTAGGAGAACAGAAACAATCCTAATTGGCTCTTGGTTAAACGCTTGCACGTGGCAATTTTGTTTTTTGGGTTGCGCTGAGTGGTGGAACATAAAAAAATTGGTTAGGATATTGTGGCCTAACCTAAAAAATAAATGATTAAAATAAGAACATTGATTATTCTTTGGTTCTTTCGGTAAAGTCACGTATAAAGATAAAATAATAAATTAAATTAAATACTAGCATACGACGTTTCGATTGCAACACAAGCAATCATCATCAGGTATAAATTGAATAGAAACACAAATCTAGTATACTTAGAAATGTAATGTAATACAACAGAGAGTCGGATAACATAACAGTCAACACCCTATCTGGTTGATTACGTTCTTCCTGAGAATGCTAAATTTGAGAGAGAGATTAAACACAGAACCAGAAACATAGACAGACATATAAGCCAATAGATATCACAGAGATACATAGAGAGAGAGCAAACATAGGCACAAAGAGAAACTACGCCTCTGTGTCGAGGCCTTAAATAGAGAAAGGGGGGGCGGGGGCGGGGAGAGAGGGAGGGGTTAGAGAAATTAGCATGTCCATGAGTGGAAACGGTGAGTGGCAAGGTGTAAAAAGCTTGAGAGAGGGGGGCAGGGGCGGAGAGAGAGGGGTTAGAGAAATTAGCATGTCAATGAGTAGCACGATGAGTGGTACGGTACGAAAGCTTGAAAAAATTAGGAGGCAGGGAGAGAGACACACTAAATTAATCTCTCTCTCAAATTTTAATTAATCTCTCTCAAATTTAGCATTCTCAGGAAGAACGTAATCAACCAGATAGGGTGTTGACTGTTATGTTATCCGACTCTCTGTTGTATTACATTACATTTCTAAGTATACTAGAGTTGTGTTTCTATTTAATTTATACCTGTTATGATTGCTTGTGTTGCAATCGAAACGTCGTATGCTAGTATTTAATTTAATTTATTATTTTATCTTTATACGTGCAGTGGTGATGCTTGCGCCTCGCAGCTAGAAGCGCCCAGGTCCGATTCCCACCTTGGCGCCTCCGGGTACTCCGGTTTCCTTCTCCCATAGATAACAAAAAAACAAAACCAGTGTAATTGGCATTGGCCAAACTTCCAAATGTTTAAAAATTACCTACAAAAGTACAAATACAAAGATATTCCGTAGAGCCTTTAACAGACTGTTTCGGTCTTGGTCGAAAGTGTAGTTAAACTTTCGGTTTCGGCCGAAAGTACATTTTTAACTTT